CATCTGATGCCCCCGCCCAGTGGACGCAATGCACCTTCTTCCTGCAATGATCCCAAGTTTCTGCAAAAGCTCTACAGAGAAATCGACGCAGAGCGGTCCGGTTACTGACAGAAGGCGAGTCTAATAAGTGCGCCATCAGCAGACAAGAACTACAGGACTATTTTCATCGCCTCCCAGAGACGTTCACACATCGACATTTCACTCTTCACTGCAAGTGAGACTAGACTCCTCCTCCCTCCTGGACCTTACACCATTCTCCGCCTCCGAAGTGGCGAGACGGCTATATGCTTTTGAGAACTCGGCCCCCGGGACCGGATCGATTGACCTACAACCATTGGAAGTCAGTTGATCCGGAGTGTACGGTGCTTGCCAAGATCTTCAACGTCTGCTTACGGGCCAGACGGATTCCTGAGAACTGGAAAGCCACACGCACCTTGCTACTATACAAAAAAGGCGACCCTAGTGCTCCTGAGAACTGGAGACCCATCTGCCTAAGCACCACCATCGCCAAATTGTTTTGTGGTTGCCTTGCGCGGCGATTCACCGACTGGCTGATGTCCAACGAGATTCTCTCCACTTGCCAGAAGGGCTTCCTCCCGTTTGACGGCGTATTTGAGCATAACTACGTTGTCCAACAACGGATTCAGCTAGCAAGGACTTCCAAAACTGACATCTGCCTGGCTTCTCTGGATCTCAGTAATGCATTTGGATCCCTGCCTCATGAGGCCATCTTCGCTGCACTCGATACTGCGGGAGCTGGAACTGCATTCATCGACCTCATCCGGGACCTTTACACTAACTCCTCAACTTGCATCTTCACTCAAGAAGGCCTTACAGATCCTATCTTCTTTGAATGTGGAGTACGACAGGGATGCCCACTAAGTGGTCTACTTTTCAACCTGACGATTAACCCGATTCTACAAGTCATCCAAGCACAAAGTCCTACCCACCGTGTTCTAGCGTATGCGGATGACATTCTACTCCTGGCTTCATCACCGGAAGAATTGCAAATACAGCTTGACCTGGCGGTCACCCTCATCAAGAAACTCGGCCTCTCCCTAAATCCAAGGAAGTGTTTCGCCCTTCACTTGTCTGGACGCCAACCAGTTGGGACAAGAGACTCTACCTTCCACATCAATGGTGTACGGATCAAGACTCTTGGTGACGGAGAAGAAGGTGAATTCTTGGGCAAACCCGTCGGATTCCAACTTCCTCCGGATAACAACGCACTAAACACCTATCTCCAAAAATGTGACCAGCTGCTACGATCGAAGCTTGCGCCATGGCAGCGTCTCGATGCCCTTAAAGGCCTTCGCCTTTCCTGCCATGAACTTTGACATGCGAATGGCTCGCTTGAAAAAGACAGACTGGGCCAAGATCGACGCTCACATTCGTCCCTTAATTAAAGAGACTCTAAATCTTCCACCTGAGGCCTCAAACGACTACATTTACGGTGATAACAAAGCTGCCTGCCTAGGCATTCCCCTAGGCCGCCGAAAACTCTGATATTGCTAGGATAGACGGGGCCTTCAAGCTACTTACCTCTAGCGATCCTGCGATCCAACTCCTCGCCTGGGAAGACCTGAAGTGCCTCGTCTCGAGAAGGACGTCTATCACTGCCACGCCCCATGTGTTAGCTGCCTTTCTGTCTGGATCCGACGAAGACTTTCTCCGCACCACGTCCAATCCCATCTCTTCAGTTTGGACTGCTGCTAGAAGTGCATCACGTCGCCTGCATGTCACCTGGGAAATCGCCGACAACAACACCGTGTCACTCATCCACGAGGGTATTACTCTCCCACAAGGAAAACGCCACCTCATTTTCAAGACCCTCAGAACTACTCTCAAAAAGGCAAGGACCACCAAATTGCTTTCCTACCCAAATCAAGGAAAAGCGATGGAATGTGCAGCAGCAGCTAAGGCCAGTTCGCATTTCTTCAGTACTGGCTCATTCACTAGATTTGCCGACTGGCGCTTCGTACATCGTGCAAGGTTAAACCTTGTGCCTTTAAATGGTACGCGACGCACGAACAACGGCTCTAAAGGCTGCCGCCGGTGCAACAACAACTTGGAGACTCTTCCTCACGTCCTCTGCCACTGCATGAGGTACAGCCGCTCTTTTCAAGCCCGCCACAACGCAGTGGTAGAGAGGATCAAGAAGGCCGCAGCTGGGAGATGGGCAGTACTCACAGAGAACCAGATCCTACATGGACAACACGCCCTCCGACCGGATCTCATCCTTGTTCGAGACGACTCGTGCCTCGTTCTGGACATCACGGTTCCATTTGATAATCGACGGGCCGCCTTCGACGCTGCAAGAAGGGAAAAGATTGAAAAATATCGCCCTCTTGTTAACACTCTTCGCCGGAACTACTCTGATGTCCGTGTCGACGACCATCATCGTTGGGGCATTAGGGTCTTGGGACCCGAGCAATGATCGTGTTGTGAACCGCCTCTGCTCCGAAAGTACGCCTCCCTGATGCGCAAGTTGATCGTGAGCGATACCATCAGCTTTTCACGCGATATTTACGTAGAACACCTCACAACGTTCCTCAGGTGCGCCAACAAAGACACGCCCCTACTGCGGAAGCTCAACGCCCGAATGATTCTGAACAACGTTCAAATCCAGTGCAGACTCCAGAAGGAAATGAATAGGTGGCATTCAAGAGTGGACTTCTCCCCGACATTTGGACTATTTCATATGAGTTTAAAAAGGAATCGCTTTTAGGTGTAATTGAACTTTAAAAGAACATTTGCTTTGGCGGTTATCCAATTTTGTAGCAGTGTGATCGAAGTACAGTTGTAATGTTTTGCGGTGCATTGAATATGAAAATATTTTATGTATATCGTGAAATGAATATGACTATGGTGTTGCTTCTGTATATAAGTAAATAGCGTACATCTCTAGACTCATAAAGTTTTCTGTTCTTATCAGCTTAATATCTGATACGACGTCGACATGACGTCAAGATATTAAACTAATTTTTGCAGATAGGCTTGTGGTTAGGAATTTATTCCGCCCTCGCGCCACGGGTTGGCCTGCTATGGCACTACTTGCAGGATACGGCCCACAATATATCCAAAAAGCAGAAACTTCACTCACCCACTGCATCCTCAGGAAAACGTCCTTTTAAAATGGCCCCTTCAAATTTCAGAAAACCGAAGGTCTGACAACATCATACCTTTGTACGAGTGTGCGCGGCGACCTGCCTTTTTTTTAACTCGGGCCCCTCGTTCTTTTCCTCGGAATGGGAACATTCTGGAGCCTCGGGTTTAACCCTCGTTCTTTTCAGTGTCAAGTTCTGGTTTCTGTAAATACGAAGTTTTATTCGTATTTACAGAAATCCCATAAAATCCACATTTCTTTCCCCGTACTGTTAACAACTTACTCATTCTGTCTGACTGATTGAAGGAAGATCGGCCTCGAAATATCACTCAAATTTCATTTGCAGTAACATTTTTGTCTCATTTCATGTAAGTTTGAGAGAATTCCTATTCACATTTGCCAGATCTTTCCCACTACAAAACAGCGCGCGTATACACATTGCTTCTTTCAACACACGAGCCTTTTTATTGTAAATAACTCTCAAAAGGGTGTAAAATGTTTGTAGGCACACTGCAGCAACAAAGATTTTTCTGTCTGTTTCCTAATGTTTTGTTTGTCTCTGTATGATTTCTAAACGCCAGCTAATTGTAATGGTCTACAATTATTGTTAAGGATTGTTGTATTTATGTTTTTATTCATTCATTCATTTATTTTGTTGGCACATTAATATTAACAAACGGGAAAATGCCAATAGATGGCTGCACTATGCAGGAAGCAGTTTATTCTGAGTTTTGAGATGGCTTGCCCGCCACTAGTGTGGAAGTGTAGAATACAAAGTAATCATTAATTGTAAATTAAAAAGTACTGTTTTATTGTACATATTACAAATGAATTTGTAAAGTGTTTTTTGTAATTTTTCTGTTTGTTTAATTGTTTTAAGTTCCTAATATTTCACTCTGTGTTTTCAAGTGCAACGTTTGAACTGAAGAGAGAGAGAGTATCTCTGAGTTGGAAACCATGTGCTGGACTGTGCATGTCGAGTTTGTGTCAATCAAAAACTCTGGCATTATGTAATGCAGTTTTGGCTGCTGTAAATTTTACTGTCTCAATATTTGTTTAATCACAAACAAAAAATTTTAATTCTCTCCCAAGCATGGGCATTCGATAACTCCAGGAAATATTTATTTATTTATTTTTGGTTTTGCTATTTTTATTGCCTTTGTAATTACATTTGTTTTATATTCACCTGCAGTGAAGAATGAGATTTTTCGGAGGAGGAAGCTACTCCAGAGAAATGAACACTTTCATGAATATTTCATTGTCCTCTTTTCCCATCTGAAAAAAAATTGAGAAAATACGAGAATATTATGTTGCATGGTGCATAAGCTTATAAAAGCTGGAGGAAAACACCGGAATTCAGTTGTTTACTTACTGCTGTTATTGACTGTAGCGATTTCGCGTTGAGATCGGATTAACTTTTTCTACTTTGAATTTTGTTCCGGCCAACGTTTCCGTAAAACGTCCAATATAACTACTGTAAGTTATTGCGATATTGTAGAAATATCTGTGAGGATATTTCAGCATTGTGGTTCATTTGCTGTAGTAAGAATAAAATTTGCAATTGAATCTTGAATGAAATGAACTTTTGACGTCCTTGGCTTTTTAAAACTAGCCCCCGCCCAAGGAGGAGGGGACTGACGCCTCCAGAATGGGAACATTAGAAAGGACCGCAAAATGATCCACTTGACTAGACAGAAATTGGTCATCCTTGTACACTCTTTTTTTGTAACACACAGGAGGAGGATGAAATAACGACATATCATAAAAAACCCCCAAGCAGCACTCGCTAACCTGAGTCTTCTGCACCCCCTTCTCCCCCCTGCACGAATGCTCAGGACTTTTGAAATATGAAAAATTGAAAGTGAATTCATCACGCCAGAGAATTCTGCATCGCTTCTCTTCTCGGCCTTTTGGCTAAGATCAAAGTGTAGTATCTGTTCTTATCAGCTTAATATCTGATACGACGTCGACATGACGTCAAGATATTAAACTAATTTTTGCAGATAGGCTTGTGGTTAGGAATTTATTCCGCCCTCCCTCGCCACGGGTTGGCCTGCTATGGCACTACTTGCAGGATACGGCCCACAATATATCCAAAAAGCAGAAACTTCACTCACCCACTGCATCCTCAGGAAAACGTCCTTTTAAAATGGCCCCTTCAAATTTCAGAAAACCGAAGGTCTGACAACATCATACCTTTGTACGAGTGTGCGGCGACCTGCCTTTTTTTTTAACTCGGGCCCCTCGTTCTTTTCCTCGGAATGGGAACATTCTGGAGCCTCGGGTTTAACCCTCGTTCTTTTCAGTGTCAAGTTCTGGTTTCTGTAAATACGAAGTTTTATTCGTATTTACAGAAATCCCATAAAATCCACATTTCTTTCCCCGTACTGTTAACAACTTACTCATTCTGTCTGACTGATTGAAGGAAGATCGGCCTCGAAATATCACTCAAATTTCATTTGCAGTAACATTTTTGTCTCATTTCATGTAAGTTTGAGAGAATTCCTATTCACATTTGCCAGATCTTTCCCACTACAGCGCGCGTATACACATTGCTTCTTTCAACACACGAGCCTTTTTATTGTAAATAACTCTCAAAAGGGTGTAAAATGTTTGTAGGCACACTGCAGCAACAAAGATTTTTCTGTCTGTTTCCTAATGTTTTGTTTGTCTCTGTATGATTTCTAAACGCCAGCTAATTGTAATGGTCTACAATTATTGTTAAGGATTGTTGTATTTATGTTTTTATTCATTCATTCATTTATTTTGTTGGCACATTAATATTAACAAACGGGAAAATGCCAATAGATGGCTGCACTATGCAGGAAGCAGTTTATTCTGAGTTTTGAGATGGCTTGCCCGCCACTAGTGTGGAAGTGTAGAATACAAAGTAATCATTAATTGTAAATTAAAAAGTACTGTTTTATTGTACATATTACAAATGAATTTGTAAAGTGTTTTTTTTGTAATTTTTCTGTTTGTTTAATTGTTTTAAGTTCCTAATATTTCACTCTCTGTGTTTTCAAGTGCAACGTTTGAACTGAAGAGAGAGAGAGTATCTCTGAGTTGGAAACCATGTGCTGGACTGTGCATGTCGAGTTTGTGTCAATCAAACTCTGGCATTATGTAATGCAGTTTTGGCTGATAAATTTTACTGTCTCAATATTTGTTTAATCACAAAAAATAATTTCTTCCCAAGCATGGGCATTCGATAACTCCAGGAATATTTATTTATTTATTTTTTTTGGTTTTGCTATTTTTATTGCCTTTGTAATTACATTTGTTTTATATTCACCTGCAGTGAAGAATGAGATTTTTCGGAGGAGGAAGCTACTCCAGAGAAATGAACACTTTCATGAATATTTCATTGTCCTCTTTTCCCATCTGAAAAAAAATTGAGAAAATACGAGAATATTATGTTGCATGGTGCATAAGCTTATAAAAGCTGGAGGAAAAACACCGGAATTCAGTTGTTTACTTACTGCTGTTATTGACTGTAGCGATTTCGCGTTGAGATCGGATTAACTTTTTCTACTTTGAATTTTGTTCCGGCCAACGTTTCCGTAAAACGTCCAATATAACTACTGTAAGTTATTGCGATATTGTAGAAATATCTGTGAGGATATTTCAGCATTGTGGTTCATTTGCTGTAGTAAGAATAAAATTTGCAATTGAATCTTGAATGAAATGAACTTTTGACGTCCTTGGCTTTTTAAAACTAGCCCCGCCCAAGGAGGAGGGGACTGACGCCTCCAGAATGGGAACATTAGAAAGGACCGCAAAATGATCCACTTGACTAGACAGAAATTGGTCATCCTTGTACACCTCTTTTTTTTGTAACACAGGAGGAGGATGAAATAACGACATATCATAAAAAACCCCCAAGCAGCACTCGCTAACCTGAGTCTTCTGCACCCCCCCTTCTCCCCCTGCACGAATGCTCAGGACTTTTGAAATATGAAAAATTGAAAGTGAATTCATCACGCCAGAGAATTCTGCATCGCTTCTCGGCCTTTTGGCTAAGATCAAAGTGTAGTATCTGTTCTTATCAGCTTAATATCTGATACGACGTCGACATGACGTCAAGATATTAAACTAATTTTTGCAGATAGGCTTGTGGTTAGGAATTTTATTCCGCCCTCGCCACGGGTTGGCCTGCTATGGCACTACTTGCAGGATACGGCCCACAATATATCCAAAAAGCAGAAACTTCACTCACCCACTGCATCCTCAGGAAAACGTCCTTTTAAAATGGCCCCTTCAAATTTCAGAAAACCGAAGGTCTGACAACATCATACCTTTGTACGAGTGTGCGGCGACCTGCCTTTTTTTTAACTCGGGCCCCTCGTTCTTTTCCTCGGAATGGGAACATTCTGGAGCCTCGGGTTTAACCCTCGTTCTTTTCAGTGTCAAGTTCTGGTTTCTGTAAATACGAAGTTTTATTCGTATTTACAGAAATCCCATAAAATCCCACATTTCTTTCCCCGTACTGTTAACAACTTACTCATTCTGTCTGACTGATTGAAGGAAGATCGGCCTCGAAATATCACTCAAATTTCATTTGCAGTAACATTTTTGTCTCATTTCATGTAAGTTTGAGAGAATTCCTATTCACATTTGCCAGATCTTTCCCACTACAGCGCGCGTATACACATTGCTTCTTTCAACACACGAGCCTTTTTATTGTAAATAACTCTCAAAAGGGTGTAAAATGTTTGTAGGCACACTGCAGCAACAAAGATTTTTCTGTCTGTTTCCTAATGTTTTGTTTGTCTCTGTATGATTTCTAAACGCCAGCTAATTGTAATGGTCTACAATTATTGTTAAGGATTGTTGTATTTATGTTTTTATTCATTCATTCATTTATTTTGTTGGCACATTAATATTAACAAACGGGAAAATGCCAATAGATGGCTGCACTATGCAGGAAGCAGTTTATTCTGAGTTTTGAGATGGCTTGCCCGCCACTAGTGTGGAAGTGTAGAATACAAAGTAATCATTAATTGTAAATTAAAAAGTACTGTTTTATTGTACATATTACAAATGAATTTGTAAAGTGTTTTTTGTAATTTTTCTGTTTGTTTAATTGTTTTAAGTTCCTAATATTTCACTCTGTGTTTTCAAGTGCAACGTTTGAACTGAAGAGAGAGAGAGAGTATCTCTGAGTTGGAAACCATGTGCTGGACTGTGCATGTCGAGTTTGTGTCAATCAAACTCTGGCATTATGTAATGCAGTTTTGGCTGATAAATTTTACTGTCTCAATATTTGTTTAATCACAAAAAATAATTTCTTCCCAAGCATGGGCATTCGATAACTCCAGGAATATTTATTTATTTATTTTTGGTTTTGCTATTTTTATTGCCTTTGTAATTACATTTGTTTTATATTATTCACCTGCAGTGAAGAATGAGATTTTTCGGAGGAGGAAGCTACTCCAGAGAAATGAACACTTTCATGAATATTTCATTGTCCTCTTTTCCCATCTGAAAAAAAATTGAGAAAATACGAGAATATTATGTTGCATGGTGCATAAGCTTATAAAAGCTGGAGGAAAACACCGGAATTCAGTTGTTTACTTACTGCTGTTATTGACTGTAGCGATTTCGCGTTGAGATCGGATTAACTTTTTCTACTTTGAATTTTGTTCCGGCCAACGTTTCCGTAAAACGTCCAATATAACTACTGTAAGTTATTGCGATATTGTAGAAATATCTGTGAGGATATTTCAGCATTGTGGTTCATTTGCTGTAGTAAGAATAAAATTTGCAATTGAATCTTGAATGAAATGAACTTTTGACGTCCTTGGCTTTTTAAAACTAGCCCGCCCCAGGAGGAGGAGGGGACTGACGCCTCCAGAATGGGAACATTAGAAAAAGGACCGCAAAATGATCCACTTGACTAGACAGAAATTGGTCATCCTTGTACACCTCTTTTTTTGTAACACAGGAGGAGGATGAAATAACGACATATCATAAAAAAACCCCCAAGCAGCACTCGCTAACCTGAGTCTTCTGCACCCCCTTCTCCCCCTGCACGAATGCTCAGGACTTTTGAAATATGAAAAATTGAAAGTGAATTCATCACGCCAGAGAATTCTGCATCGCTTCTCGGCCTTTTGGCTAAGATCAAAGTGTAGTATCTGTTCTTATCAGCTTAATCCACCAATCTCGAAAAAGATCCAGAGTGGTGGATATTCTGAAGAACGATGAGTTCGCCGCCCCGCCTTGCTGCCCGGCCAAGGCCCCGCCCACCTCCAGCTGTGAGGAGACCCGGTTCCTGTTCTCCGCCTGCTGTTCCAGAGGATCCAGTTCCAAGCCCGGAGTTCCTGAGGAAGAATCCGATGTCCAAGGTTCCTGAGGACGATGCTGCCCTAAGCAGGTTCCTGCCCATGATGTCTGGAGCCACGAGAGGAGGAGCCTGCAATGCCAAGGACCCTGCTGGTCGCCGTGTGGAGGTTCCCGGTGCCGCCGAAGATGGTGCCAGCCCTGAAGGGCTACCACAGGCCTGGATTGACGCTGCCGCTGCCAGTGGAAGATTCCAGTCTCCCAAGTTCACCCCTGGATACCGGGATCCTGTCTCCCCCGCCACTAGGGAGGATGGAGCCGTCACCAGAGGACCTACGCATCCAAGGAATGGCTGCCGCAGCTAAAGGAGGTCCGCTCACGTCAAGCGACTTTGCTGGACACAGAGATGCAAGCCACGCCCAGACCGCCGCACCAATCTCCGGACACCAACAAAGCTCTCAAGGAATGCGCAAGCCTGAAGCTGGCCCAAGCAACGTCCCTCCTGTGTTGGGCACGCCCACCCCGTCTTCACAGATGCGCCACGTAGCTGCTTTCGTTACTCCTACGGGTCCACCGTTGACTAAGAGTGGCCATTTAAGACTACTCCTGGACCGCATCACTGCTGGTGTCCCGGCACGCACTGCTCTACAGCCTGGTGCTTCATGTTCTACGCCCGGCACAGCTGAGAAAGGATTGCAAGCCACACCTACCTCAGCACCCTCCACCTCGCCTGCTCAGATCGACAATGCACAAGGTTCCGGCTCCAATCGTGCCATGCTCAGAGACGAAAGGGACCCATCTGGCCG